CTCTCTATCACTCTCTCTCTCTCTCTCTCTCTCCCTCTCTCCCCCTCTCCCAATCTCTTCTATCTCTCAATCTCTCTCTTGTGATCTCTCTCTCTATCACACTCAATCTCTCCTTCCTACCCCCTCTCCTCCTCCTTGTCCCTGTCCCTGTCTATCTCCATCTCATTCAGCAGAGAACAATAACATTGTCTAGAAATTGGGACTGGTGGGACTTTCTTGATCTAGATTTATTTTGTGGGGGGGGTGACTTGGGTGAAGGTGTCAGAAATAGATCTTTATCTGTTACAAAGTGAGGTCTTGTTGGTTCTTTGTTTTGCTTTTTGTTGTTTGTCCTTTTATTTCTTAGGCTTATCTGAGGTAAGTGAATAAGAATTTTACTAGTTTAGAAGTTCCAAAAGCAGTATTTTTGCTAAAAATCACTTTTGGTTAAATTTACTCTTGAGAACCTTCTAAATTATTCAGAGTACATGCAGCCCTGGTGGCAACCTTATGTGGTACAGGCAAGAATTTCTGAATAAAGCTAAAGGAAGTCACACAAAGAGAGCCTACTGGCAGCTGTCTAGCCTTGCAAACTATGCTATCTTTAAGACATTTACAAAATCTTTGATGGTATGTGGGCACTGAAACAAGCAGGCCTGTTTCTCTTTTGGTGTTAAGACTCTCTGGTAGCAATACATGTTAATAGAAGGATTTGCTGCTGAGAAGTTTAATAAAAATAATAAAAATTTAATAAAAGATAAATTACCATGACAACCATAACCAAAGGCTTAGACAGTTTTATTGCATAATGGGAGGGCGAGGAGATTGGTTCACATCCAATAGGATCCATTCCTCTTGTCCTTCTCCTAAACCGAGCAATAATTGCTTGCTCATTGCAGCAGACAACCCTTATCACCTAACACTTGTTGAACATATATTATATGCCAAACACTATAGTAAGTATTCATATGAACTGACTCATTTAGTCTTCACCAGATGTGATAGTCATGCATGGACCAACATGGTTCAAGCTGGTGGGAATGTGTTAACAACCACACTGTATAACTACTCTGCAGTTAACACAGAGGCCTTCTTCTAGCTTGGCCAACCATTTATATGTGGTTCTAACCTCTTGTGATTCAACTTCATGCTGGCTTGGTAAACTCTTGCCCACCGCCCACCTTTTTATGAGGAACATCAACAGGGGACAGTATGTTCATTGATTGTTACTTCTAAATTTCTCTTTGACCCCTTTACTTAGTAACTGGTACTCTACTACATCTCCTGTATGCTTGGAAATGGCCTATGTCTGTGTTTCCTTGTGGCCCAGCTCTTATCCTGTGCAGTCCCACACACTGTAACTATATCAGAAAAATTATCCAGAAAGGAAAACCCCAAGCTCCTCTCTCAGATACTCCCTAAATCACCCATACATGGAGATAGGCAATTAGGCTGCAGTTCCTCCAAGTCGAAGCTAAACCAACAGGCCTTTCTGGGTTTCCTCACCCCAGCCACTATACTTATGCAACAAATTGCCATAAAACCAGAAAGCTTCCAGGATATTTGAACACATGGTGGTTTCCCAGAGGGAGGCTCATGACCAGAGGGCATGAAAGCTGTGCACATTCCTCACCCTGTATAGCTTTTCATCTGTATTGTGTGGAATGTACTGTGTAATAAAACAGTAAACATTAAAAATCAAAATTCTTGATGAGACCCCAATCTCCTTAGCATTCCAGGTTCTGATTTTTCCTATAGGAGAAAAGTTACAAAACAACTATAAATAATTGTGCATCAAAAGATGTAATGAGCACTTCACATAGCAATAGAGGCAGAGGACTTTGGGGAAGATGAAAATATAAAGCATCAAATAAAGCTTCAGTAGATAAAAAGCTGAAAATGTCATCATAAATGAAAGAAACTTGGAGATAAACTTCTTTTAATCCATGTAGTTCAAAGAGAAGAGGGCTGGAATGATTCATCCTTTCAAGTGATTTTCCATTGGGACAATTGGGAGAAGAACAGAACTCTATGATTCATTTTGCCCTACCCTCAACTTTGTTTTTCATTTCACCTAATTGCCTACTTCTAAGAAGTACAGTGACCCAAGGGGGAAACAGAGGACTATAAGTTGGAGCTTAAATTCCCATTATGTGGCAGCAAATCATGATTTTACCAACTTGTCTTTCGTTACCAGCAAGATACCAGGATGACTGCAGCCTTGCCCAAGCTGGATCTCCATGTGATACCCGTTTGGGAAAAAGGCATCACAGGCAAAGGAGTTGTTCTCACCGTACTGGACGATGGCTTGGAGTGGAATCACACAGACATCTATGCCAATTATGTGAGTTTGGACTGTCTTGGGACTGTGACCTAAGGAGCTGTCTATGCAGACATGCAGAGCTTTTCTCCCCTGTAAGGGGGATTATGCTCTATGTAAGCCCTGGGACAGTGAACCGATGCTTTATTCTTTTTTTTAACCCTCCTGTCAGACCATATGAACTTAGTTTGTACCAGTGGGCATTGGAAGAACTGAATGAAGTTAAGGATTATACAAACTCATGTGTGTTGGGAAAGCTGGGAGAGTGGTTGCCCACATGAATTAAATTATTAAAAGCCACTTGGACTGTGAGGCACTCAGTGTTTAGGGTAATAAAACAAATTAAGGCTGATGTCTGAGGTCATTTTCACAGTCTTGTTCTCACATCTCTCGTGAGTCAGTGACTCTGATATTGTGAGAGGATGTGAATCTGACTTCTTCCATGCAAATTCAAAGTGAACACCACAGAGTGGAAAAATGCCAAGCAGAAAAAGGGAAACATCTACTAGAAATGGAAAAATAAATAATTAAAAACTGTGCTTAATTGTTTATGACGTTCATAATGTAACATGAGCTCCATGATTTAACTTAGGTCTTTATGTCAAGGTAGTGAGCATTTCATCAGTGGGGTTTTCCTTTATCTCTCTCATCCTTTTCACCCGTACAATGTTCCAGCCATAACTCAAAGCAGAAGAGTGAAGAAAACTTGAAGGAAAAGGAAGACCAAAAAAAAAAAAAAGACTAGTACAGGATATAAATCAGGACTTATTGGAAGATGCAGAAAATTATAAGTATAATTAAGAAGAATGTTATAAGAAGTACAAACAGCAGTGATTATAGAACTACTATGTGGGAGATGTTTTGAGTGTAGCAATTTGTTCAGAATACAATGTGGGATCTGAAAGCTTGGCAGTAATTTCCAGTACATTCTCTTTAATCAAATTACATTATTTAGGGTACCTGAGGAGCCCCACCCTAAAGGTACTTCTTTGCACATAGACTCATAAGAGAAGTAAGTACTAAAGAGTTAGCAATTAGCTCTATGTTTTTAGCTAGGTCATTCAGTTTCTCTCAACCTCACTCAATCTCATTTGAAAAATTAGGTGATTGAACCCAGGAAACTCTGATGATTTCTATTTTACTTTGCTGTGCTCATCTTTGCTGCCTGCCTTTGGAGTACAATAAAAGTTCAATAACTAGCCTAGAGGGCTGGGGATTTAGCTTAGTGGTTTCTCTGCCTGCCTTGCAAATGCAAGGGCCCAAGTTCAATCCCCGGTACCAATCCCCAGTACCAGAACCTCAGAATGCAAGCTTTTGAGCTATCTCCCATGATGGGAAGAGGCAGTGATAGAAAGGGGTAAGGATGCTGCTTTTTTTATGATGCCACAGTGTTGTTTTTGTTGTTTCTTCAGGATCCAGAGGCTAGCTATGATTTTAATGATAATGATCATGATCCATTTCCCCGATATGATCCCACAAATGAGAACAAGTGAGTAAATGTGCATTTTGTAGCCATAAAGTATTTTAAAAATGTTTTTATCTTGTTTAAGAGAATTACACTATAAATTTGACCCATTTTTCGGCTCTCAGAAAATGTTGCTGCATACCATCCCTACCACAGTGCTCTAATGTCTTTAAAACAGAAACAGAATTTTTTGTTTCTGTATTCTGTCTGGTTTATAGCCTCATACTTTGAAAACTAAAATTATGAAATTCTCCTTGTTATGTTATTAAATGCTTCTTTCAAGTGTTACTGACTACTTATACCTTTTGAAAGAACATCTGGGTCATAAAAAATATAAATGTTGAGTTTCCATCTCACCAATTCCTCTGTGAATCTTGTATTATTAGCAACATGCTTGATGTTAGTCATGAAAGGAAATACATACATATATATATATATATATATAAAGTGTCTGGTCGTGTCTTTTTTCGGAAACCGGTGAATGTGGTTGTGACCACCATAGAAAGTTGTAGGATTTACCCCCATTTATTTCCATATATATATATATATATATATATATATATATATATGGAAATAAATGGGGGTAAATCCTACAACTTTCTATGGTGGTCACAACCACATTCACCGGTTTCCGAAAAAAGACACGACCAGACACTAGACAAAGAAATCCTGCTGAGGCCTGGCTTCCAAGCCCAACACAGCCTCCAGAGCTTTGAAGTGCATCATTCCCTGCTCCAGTACGTGCAAGGTGTAAAGGGCAAGGGAAGAGAAAGGGGACAACATCTAACTTGGATCAACAGCTTCCTATTGCAGTCATGGGTGATAACAGAGACCAAGACCTAGACCTTTCAAGGAAAAAGGCCAAAGAGAGACCCCAAAGCTAGAGACTCCTAACCTTCTCTCCTAGCACCAGAGAAACTTCATGCTCCCTGCTCGTGGCCTCAAAGTGTCCATCCTTATGTGAGAATTCATCCTTGTTCATACTGATATCTACACAAACCTCAAGGAGATATCAAATGTCCTGTTCATTTTCTCCACCCAAAAGAAAATGCATCAAAACAGGTCAAATCCACAGTCAAAACCAGGCCTTTTTGCTATAAATAGAGATGGAAAGAGAGAAGCAACTAAAAAGCTGCCAGTGGATGCTGCATGAAGCATAAATAAAAGTGCTTCCCTTTTCTTTCTGAATGGCTGCCTCTTGGAATATTAACCAACTTAGGTCACTCATGTTTCTCTCTTTGTCTCTCCTCCCATGGGGCTCATAAAGTAATACTGACTCAGCCTTATTCCTTTCTTTGGATGGTCCCTCTCCAGAAGGCCAGCACAACCCAAGGATGCTGGAGCACACAGACTTGACCCCAACTTCTGCATGTATATTTTTTCCTTAAATGAGAAGGGGAGGACTGTATAAGTTTCAGTAATACTACTTTCACTCTCATTTATGTCTTCAGGAGTTTGAGTAAAGAGGTTAACCACAAACGCTCCTTAGAGGTTAGAACGTTCCATAACAATACAGTAGGAATTGCTGGTGCGGCACTCTCGGAGCAAAGGGGCGGTGTGCCAGGTGAAAAGGAGGACTTATCAAATTTTGAGCCATATTTCTGGGTCAGGATAGTGCATGACCAGCAAGGACATCTACGTTTTTGAAGCAAACCCTGCCTGTAATATCAGCCTGTCTGGCAGTTGTGGCTTTGCCATTTCCCGGTAGAGGAACTAATATGGGGTAAATTGCTTGCTTCTGTCTGTCTCTGCTTTGGTTGGTTTTTGTCCTCTAAAGGGAGTGATAAGGCACTTTCCCCTTACATTTCTGAAAGGAACTCCCCTGAGGAAATGGGGCAGTAAGTACTTAGAAGTTAGGAGCACCCTTCTTAGAACGGTGTGAAAACAACTTTCATTCCAACCCTTATTAAAACTAAGAGGTACAGCAGAGGCCAGATTCATCAGCCTGGCTCTTAGAAAGTCCATCTCCTTGCTAGGCAGATCCTGCATCCAGCTCCAGGATCCACTGTGGGTGACAACTTGTGCAGTGGCCACATAATAGGTGAACACTTGGTGAAATGATAGAAACTCTCTGGAGATTCTCTGATCATGAGAAGGAGGACTTAGCATTACTGTAACAAATACCTGAGATAAATAAACTTTAAAAAAAGGAAAGGTTTATTTTGGCTCACAGTTTTAAAGGTTTTTGTCCATGGTGAGTAAGCCTTGTTGCTTTTGCTCCCTGATGAGGTAGCAGGTCCTGGTTGGGAGCACAAGGTAGAGCAAGATATTCTCTTCATGGTGGCAGGAAGCAAAGAGAGGAAGCGACTCCTACAAGGACACTCCCCAAATCACCTAAAACTTCCCATAGACGCCACTGCTTAAAGATTTCACTGTTTTCCAAGTGCACCAAGCTGGAGATCAAGGCTTTGCACATGAGCCTTAAGGGGGAGTCCAGATCTTCTCCCTACTCCCCAAAAGGAAAAATCTCACAGTACAGCATTTATAATTGTTACATTTTCCTCAATTCTGGGAGCTCCAGAGGCCCTATATAATGTTAATTATTTTGTGCCTGAAAATTGTGAGCTTCCAGAGTCTTGCCTGGCATGGACTACCCCTATGGCATAAGGCAGTGATGGTGAACCTTTTAGAGCTTTCAATGATTGAAACAGCCTGCTGTGGCATGAGTGCCCTAGGTTTGCCACCAGCTGCATAGGGTAGCACAACATGGCCCAACAGTTAAGAGAGACACACGAGCCAGGTTTAGATAAATGTCAGATCTTCCACTTAATAGTTTAGTGCCCTTAAACAAATTATTTAGATTCTTTGTGCCCAAGTTTTAACCTCTTTTGAAAAGGAAAATCTACTTAATTGGATTATTATAGGAGTTCACACGGGTTTACATATATAAATTCCTTGGATATTGTCTGGTACATAAGAAGTGTTAAGTAATTGTTTGCTGAAGTGATGATGATGAAGAGGAGGATGATCATGACTGTGGTGATGATCAAGGTTTATCATTTATCCCCTGAGGTTGACCCTCAATAAAAACTTAGCATGACAAGGATATCATCATCCAACAGGAGCATAAGCAGAGCTGCATCAGTTTTCTGAGCCAGTTCACAATTGCTTGCTCAAAAATGACACAATGAGCAAGCAACTTTTACAGTCTTTCTGTCTGTCAGCCAAATATCAGAGTCAACCTGACTATCATTCATTAGAAGATATAATAAAAAATAGGTACCATTCTAGCATGTTGTCTGACATAAAAGTCTTCAGATTTGGAAGCAGTCCACATTTTGTTAGCCTTGATAGCAAATGGAGACCTATTATCTCCCAATTCCGAGGGCATTGTCTCCTCACACTATCTCTATTACCTCAATTCTTTATCAACATGTAAATGAGACCAATAGAAGCCACATTCTTCTACAAATCAAAAGAGGAGTCACTAAATAATAAAATCACAAAAGTGCAAGTAACTCTTACTATTCAGCTGGCATGAATCTGTATTCAGTATTTCAACACCAATTACAGATTATTTTTCTTATCAAATAACACATGTGACAAGGATATTTTAACCAAAATAATAGTAGTGTTTAAACTATTATGTGGACTAGTTTTTTTAAAAAATGTTTTTGTTTAAGTGCCAGTTACAACCCTTGTTCCAAATTAATATATTGAGGGTTCTTTTCTCTCTCTCTCTCTCTCTCTCTCTCTCTCTCTCTCTCTCTCTGCCTGCCTTAGGAAAGAAAAGGAATTGCAGGTCTGTACAGAATGACACAGACACACTTTGATGAGGTCCTTTCCCTTTCTCAGTGTGTGGAGGTAGGAAGTGACGATAAGAGGAGGGAAAAGAATCCAGCCATGTTTGTAGCATGGTCCTACTGCTTCCTTCACTGTTGAAGTCAGTACTTAGCACAGAAACATAAGTAATGCATGGTGTATATGACATGACTTTTGGGCAGGGGCGCCATGTTAGAGGTGTTCGTCAAGAGGTGAAGTCTATTGGTTCAAGATGGGAATATGCAGTGGGTTCTTTTCCTTTCCTGATCCTTGCATCTCATGGTGTATAAACAGAAAAGTAGGCAATGGTGACTTTTCTCAAAGGAAGACAATAGAAATTCTCCTTCCATAAAGACAAAGAGCTCATCCACCAACAAGGCATAAGGTTCCCTTTCTCTGTGCAGATGTGCATATATTTTTCAGTTAATGGTCAGTACAGATTTGTTTGCCGGGGAAAGAATCCTAATTCAAAGATTAAGTGAAATAGAGGTAGAAACATTTTTTTCACCCAATACTGTGAAATCCAGTTGTCTCTCGAAAACCAACCACTGCTCCTGTCTTCTAGTGCTGTTCACCTCCACTTAACTTTGTTCTCCATAGAGATACATATGGCTCATCCGGAACTTCAGACTTAAGAATCCCAAGAAAGAATGTAGTTCTCTATCCCAGAATCAGCATTAATTCTTAAAAACCGTCTCAGTAGAAGGGCCCCATCACTGAGAGAGTCACATGGACGCAGGGCAGATGGCTTTGTCTCACAGGGAAAAATACTAACATACAAAAAGCACCATATGTCTGCCACATCAGGAAAAACCTGAATTAAACAAAATTATATCATTCAGACTTAGAATTCCAATTTTCTGTTCATATGAAGGAGCAGGAATAGCATTAAGTGGAAGAAGATCAAGAAATCATCTTTGGGGGCTGGGGATTTAGCTCAGTGTTGCTGCTGCTGCTTGCCTTGCAAGTGCAAGGTCCTGAGTTCAATCCCTGGTACCAGGGGCAGGAGGCGGGGATGATCATCTTTGGGATTTCAGAATAAAAGATAACTTAGAATAATTCTGTGTGTTTCAGTCAATTTGGGTATTTTATATTCCTGGCCAGGTTTAATTAATAGATGGCCAGTGTACTGTTGTCTAAAAGTAGCTGGCTTGTATTGTTGCTCAGATGTAACCCTTTAACTCCTCAGTGTAAACATATTTGATTACTGGCTTCCCAAGGCCACCAAGAGCCTTTCTTTTCCTAGTGTTTCCACGGTGGGATAAATCCATGAAATGGGTTCACATTAACATGCTCTGGACTTATTGGACCTCCTGAGTCAAGCTGATGTTGGAAAAAGCCTATCATGCCCAGAATTTCAGAACTACTGCTTTAGTGATAGAATTTAGTGGGGTTTTTTTTCTCATTGCAGTGTGTTTTAGAGAAGAATGCTGCACCCACCAAATATGTTGGAATATCAACTCTTTGCCTGACTACAAAGCTAATCTTATTCAGGTTTCTGGCCTCAGTCAGAGTTGTGGGAGCATATTGCTTTTTAATTAGTCTGTAATGTCTTGAGAAAATCTCAGAGTCCTCTTGGTACCAGAAAATTCCTCAGACATCTTAATGTGATTTATATTTAGAGGAGAGAAAGGAGACTTATAAATGGGTTCTGTTCTATCATATTTTGCAGGGCTGGTACAGGATAGTCTATTGATAAGGAACAGACCCCAAGTTACACTAGTTAACAGTAGAAGCCAGAATTTCAAGTCACATACTTTACTCTAGTTACCTGTGTCCTTCATCAGAAAATAAATTTTATTTCATTCTAATAGTAAGAACACCAGTAATAAGGCTGCGAGTGGTGGCGCATGCCTGTAATCCCAGCACTTGGGAGGCTGAGGCAGGAGGATCTCTGCGAGTTTGAGACCAGCCTGGGCTACATAGTGAGTTCCAGGCCAGTCTCAACTCCACAGTGAGACCCTGTCTCAAAAAAACCAAAAAAGAAAAAATCAAACAACAACAACAAAAAAAACAGAACACCAGTAATATAAAGTCAACAAAAAGGTAATATACCATACATCATGGATTCATATGCAAAACAAAAATAAATCCCAATTTATATTTTATAACTAATGCTTTTTTTCATTATTTATTGGTACATTTTAGGTATATGGTAGTTACATTCATCATTGGGATCTTGTATCTTTACACGATGTAACTTGATTCTTACTTTTCCTCATACCCTTGCCCTCCCTTCACCCCCTCCACCCTTTCCTATTTACAGAGACTTTGTTTCCATTTTTTCTTTTCTCATATTTTTTCTTTTCCCTTCTCCTACCCTTTCCACTTCCCTACTCCTTTAGCCCTTTTCTTCCTATTTCACATTATCAATTATACCATTTGAACCTTATTTACACTTTTAATTTTACATACCACAGAAACTTCAGTATTTACTCAAGTGTGTCCTATTTATTTCACTTAAGATTATGGCTTCAATATGTATCCATTTAGCTATAAATGTCTCTACTTCCCTGTTCTTTGTGGCTGAGTAGTACTCCATTTTATTAAAAAAAAAATTCACATCTTCTTTATCCAATCTCCAGTTGATGGGCAGTTGGGCTGTATGCAAGTTTTAGCTATTGCAAACTGTGCCACTAGAAACGTGGGTGTGCATATATCACTGTGGTATGATTCTTTTAATTCTTCTGGAAAGATACCCAGTGGAGGAATAGCTGTGTCAAATGGGACCTCCAATCCTAGCTCTTTGAGGTATCTCCATACTGATATCCACAGTGATTGCACCAGTCTGCACTCCCACCAGTAGGAGAGCAGGTTTCGTCTTTCCCCACAGCCCCACCAGCATCTGTTATTGGTTGATTTCTTGATAGCAGCCATTCTTTCTGGGGTGAGGTGGAATCTCAGCATTGTTTTCATCTGCATCTCTTGAATGACAAGTGATGTTAAACATTTTTTCCTATATTTATTTGCTGCTTTTATTTGTTTATCTGAGAAATGTCTATTTATTTCACATGCACATTTTTTAATTCAGTCTTTTATTTGGGGGGGTCTGATTTTTTTGAGTTCTCTATATATTCTAGATAGTAGTCCTTTGTCTGAGGAACAGCTGGTAAAGTTTTTTCCCCACATTGTAGGTTTTCTCTTAACTCCGTCGGTAGTTTCTCTTGAAGTGCAGGAGCTTTTAAAAAAGATGAGATCCTAGTTGTTGATTCTTTGTGCTAGTTCCTGTGCTACTAAGGATTTGTTCATAAGTCTTTTCCTAGGCCAATGTCTTCAAGAGGTCTACCTAACTTGTCTTCCAGCAATGTAACTAATGCTTTTTAATCCACAGACATGGGACCAGATGTGCAGGAGAAATTGCCATGCAAGCAAATAATCTCAAGTGTGGGGTCGGAGTGGCATACAATTCCAAAGTTGGAGGTAAACAGGAGGTTGTTCCTATAGTTGGGCACTTTAATTTGAGCCTTGTGTCACCCATTGTAAGAGGGGGGAGGGGACTTTTCGACAACCTAAGGGAGAAATTAGTTCCACGTGGAATTCTCTGCAGGACTCAAGTGAAATGTGTGAGCCAATCAATGGAGCTAGACTACGAGAAAACAGATAGCTGAACAGCATTTGAGCAAAATCTAATTTTCTCTATGCTCTGGTGTAGGAGGGATTGTTATTGAATGCTTGCAAAGGGAACAGAAGGAGGAGGTTAATTTAGGTAAACTTTTCCTGCCTCTCAATTCTGTAATTCTTCATTTCTTAGCAAAGAGCAGATTTTTTAAAAGTTTCCACAAGGTAATCAAGGACATTTTAAGAAAAAAACTTTATATAAGACACTGCAAACCCACAAGGACTGCTGAAACTTGGCCGATATTGCCACCTTACTACCAAAGGAGCAAAGGAAGAAAGAAAGTAGGGAGAGAAAGTTTTGGCTGCAAAAAGAAACACTGGGTGGGAGTTGTGGCCTTGCACATGACAGAGCTCCTTGTGGGCTGCAGGGTCCAGGGGAAGGCTCACTCTCTGCTCACACCACCCTCCTGAGGGCATCTTCAGGTGGCTGCAGGGAGAGGCAAGGGAGTCCAATGGCACAGCCATGCTCCAACCAAAAAGGGGGACTGCAGACAGCAATAGAAAGACAAGAATTGTTTTTCCACTTTACAATTTTTCTACTTCAGACTCTTGTGGTTATACAACAAACTTTGAATTTAGTTTGGTTTTGAGAAAATATTACCAGAAAAAGATTATTTGTGGAGCATACCAATTAGAGCAAAACCTCTTCACATTTTACATGAATGTACTTTGAATTTAAAACCAAATAAATGCACATCCTAGCAAGACCGCTACAGGAGACCCTTACATTTTCAGTACTTCTCTCTCTCTCTCTGTGTGTGTGTGTGTGTGTGTGTGTGTGTGTGTGTGTGGTAGTGTGGATTGAACCAGTGCCTTCACACTAAGCTACATACATCCTTACCCTTTTTCATGTTTTACTCTGAGACAGGGCCTTTCTATGTTGCCGAGGATAGGCCCAAACTTGAGCTCCTACTGCTTCAATCTCCCAGAGTGCTGAGATTATAGGCATGCACCACCATGCCCAGTTTACGTATCATTCTTTATTTCTTCAATACCATAATATTCAAACTGCTGTGGTCATTTCAAGAAAATGGACGCAGAAGCACAAATTATGTAAACAACTACAGAAAAGATTTGACTTTTCATATCTTAATGAACTCAACAGCTAAAGTTTATGGCAGAATCATCTTACTTTCAGTTTTTGGAGGCAGAATCACAGGCAAGTTTCTTAAGGTAACAAAAGCTAGTTCATGGCAGTGTAGAAGTGAAACACAAGAACCTCAATCCTAAGCCTACTGATGTTTTTATTATCCTACCCTGTAGTGTTCTAGACCCAATTTGAGCACTAATTTCCATTCATAGGCACCTACTGTATATCACTCACCCTACAATATATTACAGCCATTGTGGTATATTCAAGTGGATATATTCAAGTCTTAGGGTTCAAATCCAGGTTCCCACTTTCCAGCTGTGTGGTTTTGGACAAGTCACTGTCTCTCTAGCCTCAGTCTCTCCACCTGTGACGTGTAAAGAATCACAGCACCCACTTCAAAGAGTAGATGAGTTCATCTGTTCAATGTCTTTGAAATATCCTCAGTATCACAGGAGCAGTTATACTTATCTACTTAAGGAAACTGAGACACAGAGAGCTTTTGCATCTTGCTTGAGATCACACCAGCTATTAAAAAGTAGAGTTGGGATTTATTTTCCCTTCCAAATACATTTTTAAACTACTCTTTCCTTTTTTTTAACAGTTATGTCTTTCACTGGACATGCCAATTACACATTCTCTTATCTTTGCCCCACAGTGAATAACAGTGTGAAAATCTAAGGCCATACGCTCCATTACATCATTAGCCCAGAGCCGGGAATAACCAGGTAGCTGCTGGTACTGTTCAAATTGCTTTCCCTTCCTGGCTCTTGAAATCATGAGTCTGATGCTGGGTGACAGCCTGTTGGAAAGCACAAAGGGCTACCACATCTGCCCTCTTCTGATGAAAAATGATTCCCCCTCAAGGAGTGAAGTCCATGGCAATGATTTCTTACTGAGATGATTTGGAAGAAAAGGAGCATGTTCCTTGAAAATGTTTCTTAGCAAATATATAAATGAATGGCCCCTGGGTTATTTTTAATCAGTGCTTAGAAACAAAGGTTTTTTTCTCTGCTTGTTCGTTTCTTATTGTGGATAGATCTTTTCAAGCAGCACAGTTTCCCCTGAGGGGTCCTTTTTACGGCAAAGGTCAGGCCACAGCTGCTTGTGGTACCATCATCATGAACAGGTGCATTGAGGGAGGACTGTTGGACAGATATTTCTGAAAGCTGTTCTGTCACTTTGTCGGGGCAGTGGAGAGAGAGAACACATTTGTAATTGACAGCACCATGGCCATTTCCTCTTGTCCAAGGATGCTACTACCTTTGAACCTCAGGGATATTACTGGGAACTGAGCCTTGAGTGGAACCAAAAATTCACAGCTGCCCCAGTGTGCATTATTATCTCTAAAGGACAGACAAAGAAAGTTTACAAGGGCACAGATTGTGCTGTCAGTAGCCGGTCACGGGCACTGGGGACATCCAGGGTTACCTTCCCGTTGACTTGTGAAGTCCTTTAAAAATGGCATCAGCCTCTCTGTTGGTTTCTTTCTTTGCTTCGCTGCCCAGGCATACGGATGTTAGATGGCATAGTGACGGATGCTATTGAGGCCAGTTCCATTGGGTTCAACCCTGGACACGTGGACATCTACAGCGCAAGTTGGGGCCCTAATGATGATGGGAAGACCGTGGAGGGGCCCGGCAGACTAGCCCAGAAGGCTTTTGAATATGGTGTCAGACAGGTGAGATGCTTAACACAGACTTGCATGAGACGAAATCCAACCATGAGGATAAGACATGAAGGGAAGGACGTTTATGTTACATGGGAAGAAATGGGGGCAAACTTCTCGACAAAGCCTTTCAGAATTTTAAATGCTCCCAGAGAGCCAAATCATTCTTCAGAGGGACAGAAGTTCGAGATTCGAGGGTTTTGTAAAGGTACAAGATCCCAGTGATGAACGTAACTGTACTGTATACCTAAAATGTACCAATAAACTCAGTGAGGAAAAAAAATAATTATACAGCCTGTTGTACTTGGACTAGATTAATAAGAAAAAAAAGGTTAAGAGGGTTTTCTGTTTGAGTCTAATATTAAAGACAGGTTCATTGCTTTTAGGATATTTAGCTTAAAATACTTCTGCATGTTTCTTCTTCTTTTATCATTTTCCACTGGCTTTGGGATCCTTATAGTAGGTAAACTACTGTGCACCCTTCTTCCAGTTGCTCTGGAAATGCATGCTTTTTAAAATTTTTATTTTTATTAGTACAAGTTTGCAATATACAGTGGTTACATGCATCGTGGGGAGTTAGTGCATGGATATAACACATCTTAATCACGTCTATCTCCTTACCCTTCCTTCCACTCCCCCTCCCTCCAGCTCTTGGTCCCTTCCCATTGGAAGATTTATCTCCCTGTGTCCTATTATCTATCTTTTATCTTGCTCTTTAATTTGTTTGTCCTTCAGGTGTCTTGTGTAAGAGAAGCCATATGACGTTTAGACTCATGAACAGCAGTGGGCGGCCCGCTGTGCTGCTCATGGTGCCTCTGCAGCTGCTCAGTCGCTAGGGTTTACTGCATCTTCACACAGATCCCAAGGCCTTGCGCTCCACAGGATGAGACGAAAGTAGAAACTTCGGAGAGCACAAATTGAAAAATCAGAGAAAGGGTGGCCTTGACGAGTTCCATTCCATTGAAGAGTCCTCTCTAATGCAGCAGCAAGGCAGCTCTGAATAATGCCTGATTTTGTCATTCTATCAGCCAGCTAGAAGATTCAGGCAGAAAGAGGAAGTTCAGAGATTCAAGGGTAGTGGCATAAGGCAAGAGAAAAGTGAAAACAATTATAAGTAAGTGCTAAGAGTGAGATTATGAGTCTGCATAATAAAGAAAAGAAAGAAAACTGTTTTCTCAGCCCCATCCCCAAGAGGCCACAGCCTAGGGGCTCCGAGATTCCTAGCGTTAGTGGTGGAGGACACAGGGCTGAAGAAAGACCCCCCCAGTAACTGTCTCTGAGAACCTCATGCATGTGTTTGTGGGGGGCTTTACTGAGGTTTAACAGGACTCTAGCAGATGATAATCATCGCTATACTTTTGGCTTTTTCTTTAGGGGAGGCAAGGAAAGGGCTCCATCTTTGTCTGGGCTTCTGGGAATGGGGGGCGTCAGGGAGATAACTGTGACTGCGATGGCTACACGGACAGCATCTACACCATCTCCATCAGCAGTGCCTCCCAGCAAGGCCTGTCACCTTGGTACGCCGAGAAGTGCTCGTCCACACTGGCCACCTCCTACAGCAGCGGTGATTACACTGACCAGCGAATAGTATGTTGCTTCTGTCTCACTCTCTCTGCCTAGCTAGGAGAGCATTGTTTGCATTCAGAATGACCCTCCTAAATGACCTCAGGTGGGAATGATGTGCTTCACTCGGTGTCTCCATCAGGGAGACGCACGCTTACTCATTTGAAAGGCTGGCGTAGATTGGGACGCTTTCTCCACAGTCATAATGATCCTTCCGTAGTGATGATCTTCCCTCTCTGTCATCTTCAAACTCAGCCCTGAGAAGCCACCAAACCTGTCATTACACACAGCCGAGACTCCAAATGTCCTTTCTGCTCATCTGATGCCTCCCTGGAAATAGTCTAAAACGAGATTTCAGGGTTGTAACCTTTATCACCCTTGTACTTGCTGATACTTTAATAGCAGGGATATAGTCTGACTTGCCCTTTAGCAAATGATAAAAATACAGAGTCTGCACCAGCAGTGTCTCCTAAGAGCAGACAACCCACAGGAAAATAACAGCCTCCTTTCCCCTGAGGTGAACTCTTCGGCGTCAGGATAAGCAGTTCAGGAAGGCTGTACACTCAAAGGGCTCCTCCGGCCTACGCTTGCCTACGCCTGCACTTCCCTGAGTCAGACCGCCCTGCTGATGGCAATTATTGGATTTCCCTTCAAGGGCAAAATGATGAAGGGCCATTCAGAGACTCTGAGAACAGAGAGAAAGACACTTTTGACTTAAACATTTCAAGCATAAAATTTAATGCTGGACACAGCAAGAGCCAACCAACCAAAGTATGTAGATCTTAATCTCTATGAAATAGTAGGCCATCATCCAATTAGACTGCGGGTGAATCCCCTAGTAATTACCTTGGAATATGTGCAATATTCCCATTAATGGCATCTCAACAAAATTATCAGCATTCATGTCTTTCAGGGAGGATCAGGGAGTTTTATACCTCGCCTGATGCTGCAATGTAGTTTGAGCAGTAAGCTATGTGGTCTTCACGTAAAAGTGCTGGCCTCTTTCCTATGCTGCATCTTCCATTACTCGACTAATACACAGTGACATTCTACCCAGGGGTTGTTTATGGCAGGCATCATCTATAGCCTTTGAAAGGGGGTATATCAGACACAGTCAGAGCCTTTGGCTATTGCCATTTGCCTGGGTGTCTACAGCTGCCTTTTAAAAATGGCCCATGATGCATTTTAGAGTCACCATTTCATAAACAGCCCTCTTCTGGGCTACTCTGCCGAGAAGCAGCTAAGAATTCTCCATCCATCTTTGTAAAACTCTCTTCTCAGGTAAACCAACCCTGGGAGACAGAGACAGCTGGTGGGTTCTATTTGAGAGAGTGGTAGTAGCACAGCTTTTTCCTTCCACAAACTTCTCCCTTAGTCCAGTCATCAATGGGGGCTCACTTGCATCAACAGGTGAAAAGGGCAACCTTGCTTCCACAGCACTCTGAGGAGCAGAGCCACCATATCTTATGAAACCCCGCAACTCCAAGTGGGAAGCCAAAGGAGGTGATGATGGAACAAATTATTTTTTTACACCTTCCTCCCACACATTGAAATCTCTAGCTGCAAAGTAGGGATGACGCCTGGGTGGGTGTCTTGTTAGTAATCCTTTGGCCCAACTATTTGTCTGAGGTCCTTCAAGAAAATTGATTGGAAGTCTTTGGGGTTTCTTCCTTCCATGTTAGTGGCTTCTTCATTACCTAAAGTTAGCCTGAACAATTCCTCCCATGTGACAATATTGTGTAAAAATAATTTCACAGGTGGAATCTCGTGTAAGCCTCAGAATATGCGTCAGGAGATGTAAATCTCATTTTAACAGATGAGAAAACCAAAGGAAATGCACACAGGACACATCTAAAGAAGAGCTGTTCTAGAGTTTAGGCACAAAACTAAGTCCAGCACCCTTTTCCTTTGAATAACCTGTCATTTTCATCAAAGTGCACTTGTAGACACTAACTCATAGGCATTGAATCTAGAGAGAGTCCAAAGCATACATGAAACAAATTTTATGCAGGTAGTTTAAGTGACTAAGATCAGGATGGCTTTGAATCTTGGTGCTAAAGAGACAGCCAAATGTCAAAGTGAAGGCCAAAGGGAATTTCGAATGAGGCAGAATTTCTAAATATGCTGGACCAAACACAATGGACCCGATGATTAATGGGCCAGCATGATTCACACTGGTTTCAAAACAGTTTCTTTTTTATAGACAGCCATTCGTTTGGGAATCTCAGAAGAGAAAATATTCAGAGTGGGAGTACTTTATCCCCAGAAAAAGCATCTTGGTGCCAGAATTGTAGACAAGTTGCATGTAGAAGAAAGCGAACTAAAATATCAGCAGATGGCAAACATCCGCTTGTGGTTTAGGGAGGAAGTGGGGACTTGCATCAGCTGAGTTTCCTGGTCATAGCAGATGCAGACCTTTGTTTGGTTACCCTTCTGGTTCCTCTCATGTCTCCATCTCTCTCCCCGACTCTGCCCAGACAAGCTCAGACCTGCACAACGACTGCACTGAGACCCACACAGGGACCTCGGCATCTGCACCTCTGGCTGCTGGCATCTTTGCTCTGGCCCTGGAAGTAAAGTAAGGCCCACAAAGTTTCTAATCACTTTAACAGAGTCTGCTTTTCTTTATTGGTAACATGTTGATTCCTGAATACGTTTACAGGACAAATTTTGAAAAATTTAAAAAAAAAGAAGATAATCTCTGTTCCTGTCACATAGAGATGACCATTTTTAACATCTTGATGTAGATTTATAAGCATATATCTTAGAGAAAGATCTTAATATGCACATTGTTTTGCAATTTTTAAAAATCCAGTTTATAATGTTAAAAGTAGTCTGATATTTAAACTAATGGTCCTTGACCTTTAAAACCTCAGTCTTTCCCTTCTCTTCTGATTCAGCTGTAAGACCTTCTTCCTATCAGGCAGAATGTCATCTAAATAATTTCCTGTAGGTGGTATTAGGAATAGCAAGTTCACAAAATATCTTTTTTTAGAAGATATAAGCTTAGTCCTAGAGCTGCTACATCATGAGACTTAAAGACAGGTTTTTGTCTTTTCATAGTATTCCATTGCATAAATGCAAATTTTATTAAAGATATCTAATCATCCTTAGATAAACACTCTTGTCCATAAATACTGATTATCATATCTGATAATTTTTCAGAATAAACATCTAGAATTGGAATTTCCAGGCCAAAGAGTAGGCATACTTTTTAATACACATTAATAGGTTTGTGTCTTGAAAGTCTGTATCATTTTATATTCTCAGCAGGAGTGTGTACATAAAAGTGCCAGTTTCCAAAATTCTTGTCAAAATTACTCTTATATTTTTAATATTAGCTGTTTTCATAGGTGAAAATAACTCATTTTAGTATATTTTATTTTATCACTAATGGAGCTCAATATTTTATATCCTTTGGCCATTTGTCTTCTGGGATTGCCTCTTCTTTACTGCTTTGATTTTGTTCTATGGATTTAGATCAGAAAAGCTATTAATACACTTTGACTTTTGCCTTTTAATACTGTTTATAAGTAATTTTAGTGAAAGGAAGTTAATGTGTATTTACATGTTTGGTAGTCTGTTTCTTTCATGTACCTTTCTTTGTTTTCATGATCAGAAAAAATCTTCATAACCCAAAATTAGATTAGCATTTATTTATATATTTTTATTATGGTCATGTTACCATATATAAATTCTAAATCCTTCCAGAATTTTTTTTCTCATTGAGTTTAATGGTACTTTTTAAGTATACAGAACAGTTACATTTATCATTGGGATCTTGTACCTTTATGTGACAGATCTGGGTTCTCATTTTTCCCCCATACCCCTTCCCTCCCTTCATCTTCTTCCCCTCCCCTATTTACAAAGACTTTGTTTCCATTTTTTCCTTTTCTCATATTTTTTCTTTTCCCTTATTTCCTTTCCCCTACCCTTCCCACTTCCCCTACACCTTTAGCCCTTTTCTTCCTATTTCACATTTTCAATTATACAATTTGGATCTTATTTACACTTTTAGTTTTTCACACAAGAGAAACAATTCAGTATTTACACGTGTGTCTTATTTATTTCACTTAAGAGTATGGCCTCGATATGCATCCATTTTCCTATGAATGACTCCAGCTTCTCATTCTTTATGTCTGAGTAGTATTCCATTTTATAGAGAAACCACATCTTCCAGAATTTATTTTCATTCGTGGTGTTAAAAGAGGATTTAACAACATTTCCCCCCTGATAATAGTTACCCAGTAATCCGATATTTAACACAGAAGGGAAAATCTAATTGTCACAAAATGTACCTTCACAGCTTTTTATTTGTCCTTATTCCTACTTTCTTGTGTTATATGACATATTAGTTGGTTTTTCTGTTGCTGGACACAATACCTGACACTCAAAACTTAATAGAGTAATGGTTTAATTTGCTCATTGTATTAGTCCATGATTGCCTGGCCCTAAGACAGACACATCATGACAGAAGAACATGGTGTAACAAAGCTGCTTAGTTCATGGAGACCTGATAGCACAGCAGGGGAAGAATTCTAGAAACGAATGGGTGAGGGGCCATATATATTATCCAAGGCAATACCTCTATGCCCCTGACCTTGACTTACCCAGGAGCATGTTCTACTAATCTAGGTATTTCTTAGTCCATATCAGAATGAATGGTCACAAATCACCCCAAACACATATGTTTATACCATTCTTAATCTCCAAAAAAAAAAAAATGACAAGTTTATACTTCTGTTTAACATAATACAAGTGTCCTGTGAATGTCTGGAAATGTAATAATTCCTTCCCAAAAGTCTCAGCAGTTTCAGCATTTTTCAAAAGTTCAAGTCTCTTCTGAGACTTAAGCTGTGAACCTCTGTAAAAATTTTTTTAAAATTGTGTAATTCCAAGGTATAGTGGCACAGGTTAAACATTCTCATTCCAGGTCTGGGGATTAGCTCAGTGGTGCTGCCACCTGCCTTGCAAATGCAAGGTCCTGAGTTCGATCCCTGGTACAAAAAAAAAAAAGTACCTAATAAGATTACTGACATTTAGAAATGGGAAGAAAGGAGCTAAAGGTGTAGGGAAGGTGGGATGGGTAGGGGAAGGGTAGTAAGGGAAAAGAAAAAAATGTGAGATAATGAAAAGGTGGAAATAAAGTGTTTGTAGATGGGGAGGGGAGGAGGGGGTGAAGGGAGGGCAGGGGTAAGGGGAAAAATGAGAACCAAGACCTGTCATGTAGAGGTACAAGATCCCAACAATGAATGTAACTGTGCTGTATCCCTAAAATGTACAAAAAAAAAAGTAAAACATTCTCATTTTCATTCCAAAAGTGAAGAATAGGGAGATAGAAAAGAATTGAACCAATGGAAGATTGAAAACCAGCAGAGCAATAGATTATGTAGCTCCATGTGCAGCATCTGAGGCACATAGTGGTAAAATATGTGTTCTGAAGGGCCTAGGTAGTCTCTTCCTACAGCCTCGATGGTCATGGTCCACAAGACCTCACTCTTTGGCTGATCCTTATTCTTATTGTCCACAGCTTTCCTCAGCTGACATTCTATATTCCTGGAATTTCTGAATTCCTCAAGTCGTCACTTCATGTTCTGTTTTATTCCCACAGCTTCACACACTGTCCTTTTAAAGACTACTTGTTTGGCTTCTCAGGTCTTCCTTTGGAGAATGGAAGCCTCCTTTACCTCATAACTTTTGCATTCTGCATGCCAGTAAAAGTAGCACCACATGGACAGTATCAAGTTCTGCTGTCATTAGAAGCAGTAGCCAGGCCCCTTTAGAACAGGGCTTAGAGGAACTCTGAGTGCCTGGATGGCTGAGCATCATGAAGTAAATCCCAGGATACCAATTCTTTAGGAGGCCTTCCTTGAATAGGGGTCCCAAAGACTCCTTTCAAATGAAAGGTCAATACTTTTGCATTCTTAAGCCTACCATGGCTGAGATCTTACTAATTCCTGAGATGTCCTGAAGTTATCTTTATTCTTATCTTTGTACGAAGTACTTTCTTTCCTTTTTTCATGGTGTTACCCTTTTTAGGAGCCACATTTTATTTGGACCCAACTTTACACAGGGTTCCTTCTAGGCTAAAATTTGAGTTTATTAAATTTTTCTTCTCTACCTTTTGCCCCCAACTATCTTCATAAATGTGGTTAAAAGCAAGCAGCAGTATTCACGCCACAGCCTGCATGTTGGGCTTCCTTCATATTTCTTCTGCCAGATAAATCAATTCACTGTTCTTAATCTCAGTCACCTATAAAACCTCAGTCTCCTATAAAGTCTCAGGACATGGGCAAAATGTAGACAAATTTTATGCCAGAGACTAACATACATTGCCTCTTATCCAACTGCCAGTGGAATCCTTATTTCCAACTGAAACCTCCTGATTTTGACCTTTACCATCTACATTCCTATCAACACCCTGGTCTTCTGAGTTTTGCCCAGAACCTCTCATCATCAAGCTCTGTTTACAGCATTATAGGCCTTCAGTCTAGCCCACTTCTCAAATCTTTCCAAACTCCTCCCATAAGCCAATTCCAAAGACTTCTAAACCACGTGGTCAAGTACAGTCACAGCAACAACCCCGCTTCTCTGGTACAATATTGATAGCAAATCTTATAAATTACTATTAGTCTATCTAATAAGGAGTTTATGCTAGAGGTATGTGTATATTCTGTATATTCTCTAGTGAGAAGATAGTGTAATCCCCTCAGGTCCTATTCAATAGACAAAGTTCACTGACGCAGAAATACAGAAGAGCTTAAGCTTTGTCACACCTAGAGAAGCCATGAAGTTTCTAAACCTTTGCTAGGAATGTCAGGCATAGCTCTAGAAATTCTTGCACAGTGGAGATGTAGCATAACCTCTGGGTATCCCAGCAATGAGATGGCCACAACAGCTAAGTAAGACAACTTTTTAGGCTTTTACCCAGAGTTTACCTACTTGAAAGTGTTGAGGAGATGTTCGAATAAGGAAAAATCAAATTTAGGTAATCAATCAGAAACTGATTTTGGTACCAACAGAAAAGCTGCATTAGAATCTGAAAATACTTGTAATAGAAAGGAGATGGAGAGAAGACAAAAGTCTGTGAGCATAAGCTAAGACTGACATCAGTAAATCCAAACTAACTTCAAGGAGAAATATTTCAAGTAGTAAGTCTTGCAGGAAACACTAGCCTTCAAGTTCTAAATGTATCACTTTTGTGTGACTTTATAGCAGTTAATTTAGGTGTTCAGTCTTTCCTTCTACAAAATGAAAAGGTCAAATCAGACCATTTTTTAAACTACTTCCCTTCATAAGATTCACAGATCTGAAACTGAAGATGAGGGCCTATGGGACTAGCCCATCATGAATTATTAAGTTTGGTAGTGAGGGTTCCGGACTTGAAGAAAATATGAAACAGGCTTACAATGTTTACAATCTCATGACACAGACTATTTTAACCATAAGAAGCTTCAAGAGTCCACGTTAAAATTTTTAAATCTAGAGTCTTTCTTCGATACTCCACAAAAAGATGTAAATATAACTAGCCAGGCCTAGCCCAGGTTGTCTAGTGACCAATACAGTAGAAATATCCATCTAGGTAAACAGATACGATGTACTTTTACAGATGAACTGGAATTTTAAAATGTATTCTGTTCTAAAACACCAAGCCTTCTGTTTCTATACATAGCAGAAATAACTTAAGAATTATGTAGTCTCATTACCCTCTGGTGGACTTTCCCTAAATCTCTGTTACTATGAAATACACAGGTGGTTTTCAAGTGGTCCAAGAACCACTTTGCAACTTAATGCAGAATTGCTTAAAAATATGTGCATAGAATTATTCTGGGGAATGGTTTGTAGGTTCTAGAATGTTCTCACAGTGTTCATAATTTAAGAGACAATAAGTCTATTATCTTCTAAGACAAATTCTTGTAAGAATTTAATTCCCTTCATTTTGATTTCATTCATTATTAAGACGGGCACTTATATCCTTCCCGCCAAAGTACATTGATAGGTCTGTTCTCCTTTGGATGGTTTTCTGAACTCTGTTCGACTGCCTACATCTAGACTATATTGTATCAAAAAATCCGAATGCCAGCCTTTGTCCCTAGATACTCAAGATTGAGAAAAAATCATTTAAACATGTGCAATCCCCCCAGGAATAACTATGGAAACTGAAGAAGAACTCTTCACTATACTGGTCTAAAATAATGACATTCAACATATATCAAGTTCTTACCACAGGCCAGACACTATGCTAACCTTTTACATACAGTACTGGTTCTAACCTTACAACTTTCTTGTAACATAGAAGTTATTAACTACATTTTATAAGTAAAGAAATTGAGGCTTAGAGATGTTAAGAAATGTAACGGAAACTCACAAACAGATTCAAAGTCAGATCTTACCCAAAAGTTGTGCTATCAGCACCCACAATACATTGCCTCCCATAACCCTGCTGGGAAGAGAAATGTTGGCTCAAAGCTTTTTATCTCCTCTATTAGAGGGTGATTAAGAAGGCCGAGGCTGATATAAATGAACATGTATTTGTAAATTTCTCCTGTTTTCTGTCAAAATCAGAGTATGCAGCTAGGGGAAACAGGTAAAGGAAAAAGAAAGAGAAAAATAGTTTCCTGGTACAATAGGTACAGAGGAATACTTTCCTTCCCAGAACATATTTTCTTGAATAATAATGTAATAATAATCACCTGTGGCATTTATTTAACATGTAGATTCCCAGATCCTATGGCTATCAACTTAAAGAGTCCGGTGCTTCAGGTAGTTGGGCCAGTAATCCCCATCTTTACCAAGTACCCCCAGGTAGTTTTAATGTTCCTGCTGTACAGGAGGTACAACTGCTATACCGAACTATGTTCTACAACCTCATCTAGCTGTGATTGTAAAGGTGCCATTAGGGTATTTAACAGACATATACTGGAGTTAAATATACTAAGAAAGGAATTCTTTGCATAAGTGCCTGTAGCACCATCATTAATATTCAGTGACTGCAGCATAGAAAACTGGCACACAGTAGACTCAGTCTTCAGAGGCTACTCAAAAGAATCAGAATAATTTTTAATAGGAGAGGAAAATTTTGACATGAACCATGAATCACTTTACACCTTTGGCAGTATTAAAAACGTGAACTGATGTTAGGTATTTATTAAAGTCTAAACACAGACAAATGGACTTTCCATGTTGCATGAAGCCTTTGCCAAAAAAAAAAATCTGTAGGTGGTGAAAAGGAACAAAGTCTAAGTTAGAAAAATCTTCAACACCTGGCTTTACCTAGGTGTGCTTAGAAACTGAACCAGGGAATCTAAGAATTTTCATTACTGAATTTTATCTCCCGACAACTTTACCTACATCTCTCCTAAACAGAAGCAGTGCTTAATTTCAATGTTTAATTTCAAAACCCTTATTTTCTATAAACATATCTTTGATTGGCAACACCATTTATTTTTTAAAGAAATGTAATTATTGTGGGTACTGTTACACACTAATTAATAAGGAAGGCTGTCAGGATGATTTACACTATTGTTAGCAACTCCTTTTCACTTATGAAATACAGGTACAAAATGAAGAATAATTCTGTTAGGAAAATAGGCGTAATTTTCCTAATTGCATGACAATCAAGTTCCTAAAATATTTTTTAAAGATTAGATGGAGGAAGAATTTTAAAATAAGGCCTGAGGTAGGCCTCTCCCCAAGGACTCAAATCCATCTAGGAATGAAGGCCTTCATTCGTAGGGCTCAGGAAGCACATAAGCAAAGAGCATGATGTAGCAGGGGGTCTGAGTCCTTAATTGCAACTCCTCCAGGGGCTGCAGTGCACTGGTAATGCGCCTGGCCTCGTGCCAGGAGGGCGTCTTTCCCCAGAGAACTACCAAGATGAGCCTCTAAAGTTGTCTAGGTCAGGCTTGAAAGAGCACACGCAAGTTTTTAACCAGGAGCCTGACTCCTGGTTGTTTAGGAATGCACACTGCCTCTTCCTTGTTGCCAGGGGATTGTATAACCAGTTCATGATGGGCTCAGGGGAGACAGGACTAAATTAAGCTGGATTCCCCTGATGATTGTTCTACACACAGTCAGATATTCAGAACAGGAAGAGGAGATCTTTGAGCATTATTTATTAAATCATGTTTGATTGGCTTGAAGGAAACAATTCCGGTCTTAAAGGCAAGAAAAAGTTTGACACCTTAATACAATTTAGTGGCCAATGGTAATAAGTTTTAAAACAGTCTGTTGAGCAGAGGCACAGTCAAATATCCAAACAACCACTAGTTACTCTGCATGTGCCCTTGAGCCTAGCGTTCTTCTGGGTGACTGACACACAACAGGCAACAAGACAGATAAAGATCACACCTTTTGTCGTGACGGGATTCTAGCTATGGAGACAGACATTAACAGTACACAAAATAAATGAGTTGAAATCCTAAATAAGGTGATCAACGAAGACTTCATCATACAACAGATCCAACATCCCTTGTATCTTCAACGTATCTAAATTGTTGCTAAATTGATCTTACTGAAACTTCTGATTTTACCATCTTCTTGCTCCTAAACCTTTAGTGATTGCCAATGCCTAAAGAACAAAGTCTAAACTCTTTCTGTGATGTTTATGGGCCTCATCACTTTGGCTTAGTACTCTCCGTTGCCTCTTCCTGCTCCATCAGACCAGACTGTCCTCTGGCCTCACTCGGTACGGCTCCAGGCTTGTGCATTTGCTCCAGCTGCCTCCTACCCTCTTCTCTACACCGCTTCTTCCTAATCTACCAACCCTTTAAAGTTCAGCTCAAGCGGTTTTTTTCCAACAGAACTTTCCTAGGTCTTTCCATTCCACGAAAATTGTTTCTTCAAACTCTCATAATACATCAAGTTATGAATATATTATTCCATATATCTGTAAAAAGGCTTAATGTTTCACTGGATTATAAGCTTCTTAAGAACAAGAACTTCCTCTTGAATACCCCACCATATTTAGCATAATGCTTTTAAACAGTGACCTCATGTAGCTAAGTACTGATATAGAGTCATCCCATGTTTTCTGCCAGCAATTGGTTTCTGGAGCCTCCGCAGATACCAAAATATATGGAACCCCCTTATATAAAATGGCATAGTGTTTTTCACGGAACCTATGCACATCCTCCTTTGTACTTTAAATCACCTCTAGATTACTTATAATGCCTAACAGAATGTAAATAATATGGATATTGCTTCTATACTGTATTGGTTAGGGGATAATAAGAAAAGTCTCTCCATGTTCATTGCAGATGCATTTTTTCAAGTGCTTTAGATCCATTATTGGTTAAGTCTACAGATGCATAATGCACAGATATGAAAAGCTACCTGTATAAAGAAAAGAGATAAAATGTGCTTCTGAGTAGGTAGCTAGCCCATGACTTTAAAATTTGATTCATCCTTGGAAAAATCAATGGCCTTATCTGCTGAAAATGCTAAGGCTTTTCATGGATAACAAAAAATTTTTTTTAGGTCTAGTTAAATACAAATAATTAGAAATCAGGGACAAAGGTTTATACTTCTACAATGCTGAGGGTTTGACTAAGAACTTACATGTTATGGGTCGAAGTTTCACTGCTGCATTTTGAGTTCTAAATAAAGCAAAACATTAATTGTCCCTTATAAATAAAATTGCAAAAGATTCTTTATAATACCTGAATGGACAGTATTACTTTTAGCACTTGATTTTGCAAGGAAATTTCATCTTATCCCTGATAGATACTTTGGGTCACTTTTCCTCCAGCCCGAACCTCAGCTGGAGAGACATGCAGCATCTGGTTGTCTGGACCTCTGAGTATGACCCACTGGCCAATAACCCTGGATGGAAAAAGAATGGAGCGGGCTTGATGGTGAATAGTCGATTTGGATTTGGCTTGCTAAATGCCAAAGCTCTGGTGGATTTAGCTGATCCTCAGACCTGGAGCAGTGTACCTGAGAAGAAAGAATGTGTTGTAAAAGACAATGACTTTGAGCCCAGGTAAGTGCCTCCAGGAATTTTAAATAAGTGTACAATGTTTCTTACTCTGCCTAATTGTTTTCTCACTTCCCCTTTTGAAGTAAATGGAGATGGAGTTGACAGGTGGCTCTCTATGGAGAATTATTGCAAGATCAAAGATCTGTATATCATGTTAGCATATTTGGGTTTTCTTCTTGTCAACCACCTCCTATATGGCATTAAGTTTAAGATGCAACATTATTTTATATACCACTAAGAAAAAATATTGTCAAATTATCACCAATCAACTATCAGTTTAATGCTCATTCTAAATTCAACCTATTTTTTTAGTGCAACTTTGGGTTGATAAAGTAACACTTGCTGGCCAGTACAAAACCTATTTCCAAAATAGCTTTGCCTCATCCTACAGTGCTATGCAATTCATGTCTCTTCTTCTCCATGAAGGATCCTTTATTATACTTCTTTTACATAGAACACCTCTGATTCATCATATCCAGTCAAGAAGCAGAATCTGCTATGAATGCTTTGTTGTTTCTATCAGAACAACCACAATAATACCAAAAACCAAATGGGAGGCTTGAGAACATGCCTATGGAAGTCTTTTTAGATAAAAATCAGGTTTTTTCCCAAGAGGGTGTTTTTGATATTGCAGTAATGTACTACCTTTGACAAATTTGCCTGAATTTAGCTCTACAGCACGTAGTCCAGGACTAATTAAGAACTTATGTTCCTTACTATTTTCTTATGCATTCAATTATTTTATAGTTGGTCTTGAATTGGGTTTCACTTATAACTGGGAGTGACAACATGCCAAACTGAGTATCAGGTCAAGACTAATGTACAATCCTATGCACAAACAAGTGACCTGGCACACTTTATTCATTGCTGGCTGTTTCATGTATTTAGAGCCCTGAAAGCTAATGGAGAAGTTATTATTGAAATTCCAACAAGAGCTTGTGAAGGACAAGAAAACTCTATTAAGTCCCTGGAACACGTGCAATTTGAAGCAACAATTGAGTATTCCCGTAGAGGGGACCTTCATGTCACACTCACTTCTGCTGCTGGTAACCTAAAGAATCTCTTCTAAATTTTAAGTGTACAGCAATGATTGTTTTTATTTGTAGAGCTAACTTTCCTAAGAGGTATTTTCAAGTCTGAAAAACATGTTCATTAGACTTCTTGGTGTTATATTTCCTCTGCCCTACTCATTCCTACTCACCCTTAGATAAGCAAAGAATGTGGCCCATTCACATAATTAATTAATAAAATCAATTAATAAAACTTCCTGTAGTCATACAGTTGCAAACCATGTTCATCTTTCAGGTTACTGGCATACCACTCATTTGTCTTAGGGACTATGCTAGTGAAAGTTATTTTGATAATTCACATGATTTAAAGATCTATCTGAAACATCCAAGGAATCAGTTGAAAAATAGAAATTCCGATACATAAAAGAAGGTTTTTACTAATAAAATTCCCATTATGCTATGATAAGTCCATATGGTACTATATATGGACATATGCCCTTTTCCTGAAATAGTTCTAATTCAGATGTGATAAGAACTAGTGAGACATAAATCACAGTCCAGCCAGGAGAAATTATCCCAATGATGTTTGTTGTTTTTTTTTTTTTTTGAGGACTCAGCTGACCATATTCAATTTCTAGAAGTGATAAATAAGCAAAGATGAGATGCTTCTGTGAACACTTTCTAGGATATAAACTCCTGAAGATTTTGAGTCAGTGCCATTAATTTTAGAGTTATTCCATCTAGATGTCTTGTAATTGGCCTGAATTATCATAGGATACCTTTTTTATTTAATCCTTTACTTTGAATGAAATGTTATTTATTAACCTATAGAGTGTTTGGACTTTGAAATTTAAATTATTTCTAGTATTACCTTTTATAAGATAAGTGATTATTAAATTAATATATTTTAATTCAGTTATTTGTATGATTAATCATTAAATAAGTTAAATGATAAGTTGATTTGTATATCCACATTAGATTCTAGACTCAAATAACTAAATTATCAATATTTCTTTTTATATTTCAAAATAATAGTGCCGCTAAAATATAATTTAGATCTTTGACTCTTACTTGGTTCAATTTATAAAGGTAGTTCTCAGAGTTCTCCTTATTAAAACAAACCTTTATCAAAATATTAATTTATTGTTTAGTTTCATACAGCATTGTAAAGTAAATTATTATATGAAGGCAATGTGCTAAGTACTGTGAAAAAAAGCATTTTTATGTCTCTATCCTGGCCTTATACTGGCAAATTTAGAAGGACCAATCTCTCCTAGCTTTCATTTTGGAATGTATCATACTATGTGAGCTGTTAGGAAATTGATTCATTTATGTTTTTGTGTGGAAACAGGAACCAACACTGTACTGTTGGCTGAAAGGGAGCGGGACACATCCCCTAATGGATTTAAGAATTGGGACTTCATGTCTGTTCACACTTGGGGAGAGAACCCTGTAGGCACCTGGATTTTGAGAATTGCAGATATGGTAAGTATTAAGGTGAAGATGAAGAAAACACACTCACTTTTAAATACTTAGGAAAGAACTTGACCATTGATTAGTATAAGTATAGTGTAGTATTTGAAGCTCTCACCACTTGTATACATAGATAATTTAAGATTAGGTACCAGCCAGCCATACTATGAGAGAGCAGAAAAGGTATGTTGATTTCTTAATTACTTGTCTCCTTGCTGAGACAAAATATCCAACACTAAACTTAAAAGACAAAAGGTTTATGTAGCTCATAGTTTTAGAGGTTTCAGTTCATAATTGGCTGACTCCAAGGCAGGGTAGCATGGCAGAGGGGCATGCAGAGAAGATACAGTTCATGGCAGACAGAAGTCAGCAAAGCTGCAGAGTAGTGACAAAGTAGCAGCAAGCAAAGCAGCAAGCCTTCTTTCTATCCCTTATATTCTATCCAGGCTACCCACTCTTAGGGCAAATAGCACTCACACCCAAAGTGGCACACCCTTAATCCTAGCATCACACCAAGAATCAATCCTAGCACCACATCCTTTCTCCCAGCATCACACATCCTAGGTCCAGCCACCTCCAAAAATCCCTGTTGTGCTAGTTACTTTTCTGTCATTGCTGAGACAAAATACTCAACACCCAAAATTGGAGGGGAAGGAGTATTTTTGGCTTATAGTTCATAGAGATTTCTGTCCATAATTGGCTGGCTCCAAGGCAGGGATGGCAAACAGTTATCAGAGAGGAGAAACAACATGGTGCAAACAGGGTAGAAAAGGCAACAAGAGGTTTTGACAGCATCTTTCTTCCCTTTTATCTTATTCAGACTACCAGGATTAGGCTGGTGCCAAACTAATCACTCAGGTGTAGTTGTTTAGTAATCACACACCCTTAACCCTAGCATCACACATTCCAGACTCAACTACCTCTGAAAAACAAAGTTCTACCTCATCTGCATGAGGCCTTGGAGGTACATCTAGAAACAGCCCATAACAATTAATAAACAGCATGACAGACTATGGGGCAAATCCAGGAGTTCCCAGGTCTAAGGTCAACTAGTCACGTGCTCTGTGACCACTGGAAGCAACCACATTCATGAAGATAGTCACATGCTTTGCCATGACAGTTTGCTGGCATCACGTGAAAATATTCTTAAGATTATTCTGCAGTAGCTATGGAGAAGTAGCTTCAGGTTAGGCAAGATATCTTACTTAATATGACTTTTTTTTCCACCTTTAGTTATAAAACAAATGGAAAACATTTTTCATTTTGCTGTTTTGAGCTGACATGAAATTCAAGAAGCATTGGGTTTTCAAGCATTTCAAACTTCAGATTTTTAGATTCAGTATGTTCAACTAATGAAGCCTCTACAAATATTCCAAAACCTGAAAAAAAATAATCAGCAATTTGAAACATTTCAGGTCTCAAGCATTTCAGATAAAGGATACACAACCTGTACTAACACTATTTGACATCTTTCTGCAATTTTAACACACAATCATCAAAATGAAAGGACAGCGCAAGAGTGAATGACAAAAAACTAAATATAGCCAATTTATTTTTGCATAATTTATCTATTTTCTGTAGGTGAGAATATAAATGAATAATATTCTGAGGTCTCCTGAAATAAACTGCAATAAATATCAGCAGTATAAATTTCCATCTCTACATATTTTTTTAAATAATTTATTTTAAATTTCTAAAAATGTTGACCAATACAAATTGTGTAGTCATTGTTACTTGCTACCATTGAGAACAGCTTTCTGTTAAAGATTACTAGAGTTATGGCTTAGAGATTAAAGTCATAAAAAGTTCTATTCCCAGAAGATAGCAAAATAATGTTCCCAGTAGTTGATCCTGTTGTGGAACTTCTCCTCAATTCTTGAACTTGATTTCACAATCTAGGATACTAAGAAAATATATTTCGCTAGATGGGACTCTTTTATATCATGTGTAAAATCTGATTCTACACTTTTAGATTTGTTTTAGATATTTTATATTTCAAGTACAGCCAGCTTTTTAAGGATATACCAATATGAAAAAGATTTGTATAGAATCTTCTTTTTTAGTTAGATGCTTGATTATGAGCAATTAATCGGTTGTTTTTCATGTTTCATTCTTCTGATGTTCCATCATTATTTTACAACTGATTAGGACACGATATAAACTGACATTTGTTTCAGAGCTCCGAACGTTTATTCCATGCCCATGTTGCCACTTCCATTTGAAAGTCCTTATATAATGGCCTCTCTGAATATTGGAAGTGAAATCGCCGCATACATTTACTTTTTTTAATTGAGTTTATTGGTACACTCTAGGTAGACAGTACAGTTACATTCATTACTGGGATCTTGTACCTCTACATGCCAGGTCTTGGCTCTCATTTTTTCCCCTTGTCCCTGCCGTCCCTTCACCCCCTCCTCCCCTCCCCACCTTCAAACACTTTAATTCCATTTTTACATTTTCTCATATTTTTTCCTTTTCCCTTATTTCCCTTTCCCTATCTTTCTCCCTGTCCCTACACCTTTGGTCCTTTTCTTCCTATTTCACATTGCTAACTGCCCCATTAGGAGCTTGAGTACTATTTTAGTTTTGCACACCAGAGAAACTATTCGGTATTTGCATATGTGTGACTTATTTATTTCACTTAGGAGTATATCCTCAAAATGTACCCATTTACCTATGAATGAATCTACTTTCTCATTCTTTGTGGCTGAGTAGTATTCCATTTTATAGAAAAACCACATCTTCTTTATCCAGTTTCCAACTGATGGGCAGATGGGCTGTTTCCAAGTTTTAGCTATTACAAACTGTGCTGCTATGAATATGGGTGTGCATATATCACTGTGATATGATTCTTTCAATTCTTTTGGAAAGATACCCAACAGAGGGATGGCTGGGTCCAATGGAACCTCTAATCCTAGTTCTTTGAGGTATCTCCAGATTGACTTCCATAATGGTTGCACCAGTCTGCACTCCCACCAACAATGGAGAAGGGTTCCTTTCTCCCCACAACCGCACCAACATTTGTTGTTGTGTGATTTCTTGATAGCAGCCATTCTTTGTGGGGTGAGGTGAAATCTCAGAGTTGTTTTGCATCTCTCGAATGACCAGTGATGTGGAGCAATCAGTTTTTAAATTATCAAAACTAGAAAGTTTTATAGCAACCTTTATAGAAGAGCGAATTTGATGGTTCTTTTGAAATAGAGCTCTGAACATAGAATGTGTGGGTCCTAAAGTAAGATTTTAAGTATAAAATGCTCTTTTGCTATTTTGAATGCTTATATTCAAAAGGCACACTAAAACATACACATTGTTTATTCACTAGTCTGGAAGAGTGAAAAATGAAGGGAGAATTGTGAACTGGAAGCTGATTTTGCATGGGACCTCTTCTCAGCCAGAGCACATGAAACAGCCTCGTGTGTACACATCTTACAACACCGTTCAGAACGACAGAAGAGGGGTGGAGAAGATGGTGGATGCACGAGAGGTCTGTGCGCCCTGCTTCTGGCACGTTCTCTTCTGCACTCTCATGAGCAGTGCAGTGAGCGAAGCTGTGCACCTCACTTTTAGGCAGGGAATGGGCCAAATATGCATAGGAAGGAGGAAATATGCAGAGTGGTAAGCTGTTCATTTCCCTAGGAAAATTATTTTTTCATATCCAGAAGCTATTTTGAATTCACAATAAAATTTCCAATATGAATCTTAACCATTTATGTCAGCAAATTATAAATAAAGCTGTCTTTATGCATGATCACACATAGCTAACGTTTGTACTGCCCTTAGTTCTTCAGTGGTTTCCATTGCCTCATTTCAATCTGTAATCTTTAAAACCTAAGAAGTATGGACCTTAGTATGTCCATTTTGCAGAAAGAAAACAAAGGCCCAGGTGGCCATAATGCATAGGCTTCTTTTCACCGATTTCTCTTTAGTCAGCGATGTTAAGCTCACACATCCTGGCAATCCCCAGGAGAGCTATGGAATCACATCTTCTCTCAGGCTAACGGAAGTCATTGGCACTCCTGGGTCTCAGCCTCTGGAAGCTGCTGGTTTCTCCTTTATAGGCTGGTGATCAGAGGCCACATTTTCTTTATTTTAGAATCACCTAGCGTCTAGCATAGCTCCTCAGATGTAGTAGGTAAATTTTCAAAATTTCTATAATGATCTGCTTTAGTTACATCCACGCTGGACATTTTAGAAGATATAAAGACATAGCATTTACTCAGGAAATTTATAAACTATGTGAAGGTCTTGGCTTGGATTCTGATCATAATTATACTCCACTAAGTAGCTTCCTGCCGGGATATAAGTTCCAAGGTCCTCTTCTTTTCAGTTCCCAAAGCTGATACTTCATAAGGGTTTCTCCCTCTGAAATTCCTTAAGAGGCATTAACAGAAACCTTTCATTATTAAAACAGTGAGATGCAGCTGGGCCTCCATACCTTTGAGTTCCACAGCCTCAGATTTAACCCACTACAGATCAAAAATACTGGGGAAATAATTGTGCCTGTACTGAACTATATACAGACTTTTTCTTGCCATTTATTCACTACATAACCCAGTATAATGACTCTACATGGCATTTACCTTCTAGTGGATATTATAAGTAATTCAGAGATGATTAATGTATATAGAGGGCCGTACATAGGTTGTATGCAAAATACTCTGCTGTTTTCTTTAAAGGACCTGAATATACAAAGATTTTGGTACCTGCAGAAGGTCCAGGGAGTGACTGCTTCTGAAGTGGTTGTCAATACCACTCAGTCTCTTCCCTACTTATAACTGGGGAGCTTCTAACTGGGTAGGAGGCCTCCAGAAAGCTGCAACTGGTTGATGCCTTATAAATGAGTTATTAAATATTTAATGTTATCTTCTCGAGATGGATTCTATTATAGCAGGATAGCAAGTGAAGGAAAGCAATATATCCTGAGCACTTAACAATGTTATCTCATTCATTCTTGAAAAGGACCAGAAATGGAGGTATTCTGATTCCCATTTTACAGGTTAAATTCAGGGAGATTAAAAGATTTGCCAGGAAAAATGAGGGTTGAAACCCTAGTCTGTGTGGCTCTAAACCTTGTTCTGTTTCTGCTCCCCAATGTTTCAAGGGAACACGCAGTGGGCTTGTGCTAGGGCTGCAGCTACCTTGCTCGGCTATAAATAATGAACTTTTTCCCCTGTGTTGGTGGCATTCTGTGTTTTAGGAGCAGCCCACACAACAGAACCTGAGTGAGGACCCCCTGGTGTCTAAAAGCCCCAGCAGCAGCAGCAGTGTGGGGGATAAATGGGATGAGCAGGTGGAGGGGGCCCCTTCCGAGGCCATGCTGCAACTCCTACAAAGTGCTTTCAGTAAAAACTCAGCTCCAAAGCAATCACCAAAGAAGTCTTCAAGTGCAAAGCTCAACATCCCTTATGAAAATTTCTACAAAGCCCTGGAAAAGCTGAACAAACCTTCCCAGCTTAAAGACTCTGAGGACAGTCTCTATAACAACTACGTGGATGTTTTCTATAACACAAAATCTTATAAGCACAGAGATGACCGGCTGCTGCAAGCTCTGGTGGACATTCTGAATGAGGAAAATTAAGCAAGTATGTGGTCCCAAGTTGGAAATATTCACGCATCTTCCTTCCCCCTTAGAATTTGCTTGTGTCTGAAGTGGTTGTTTTGTCATTGATTCTATGCTTATAATATCCTTTGTGGTACTTTTCCTTTTCCTCCCCAAACTGTACATTTGAAGGAGATGAGCTCAGATAGGAAATCCAGCTTCCAGACTTGATCATAGCTCTTTCAAAATATGTCTTCCCTGCCTGCACAAATGAAGTGTTTTGTTCTTTCTGGAGTCACAGTTGACACATGACTCCATGCAACACTAGAATGCCTCCCTAAGCCTGCCGATGTCATTCCATACAAGAAGGGGAAAGCCTGGGAGATCCATTAATACGAAAAAAATCTTTGCCATGTGCTTCTTTGAATTTTGATGCTAAAGAAGCATTTACAAAGTATCGAATTAAAAAGCTCACAACTAGGCCCATACCCTAGAACCTAGACCTTTCTACTTCAAAGTACTACTCATTGTGGGAGTGACAATCTAGGCATTTTGGAGAAAAATCTGGATCTTCTAGACCCAGAAACAGACCTTGAAATTTGGTTGTCTGGTAAGATGGGTTCCAGAACATTCCTGCATGCTTGACATGCCTTGCAAGCCTTTATAGATCTAAGGTGGCTGTGACACATGCTGCATGTCCTGGTCTTCCTCTTGTTCTCTTTCTTTGGGAGGTTTCCCTACCTGTCTCCTTTCTCAGCCACAAATTCAATATTGAGAGATTAATATATACCATTTCCTCAGTAAATTTATACTCATAATTTGCTTAATAATAATAATAACAATAATAATAATAATAATAATAATAGCCAACCACTCCTAATATGAAAAGTCAGTGTAATAACAGGAAAATATCTATAATGGGGAGAACCAGGGAGTGATTTTGCTTATTTAAAAAATGATGGTCACTAGAACAGATTAGTCTGGATATTTGAAACTGAGTGTTCATTTTTGGATATGAGAGGATCTTCTTCCATCTTCCAGCTGGTAGTATCCAAATTCTCCTCAAATTGCTTCTTTCCTTCAAGTCAGAAGACATGAAGTGCAGCCCATAGGCCTTACTGATTCCTCTGATAGCATCTGTTTGGCATTCAGAATGTTTTTTTAATGAGATATTGTCGAAAATATAAAGTTTTGAATAAAACTGGATATTTAGACCTACATACATCTGTGGAAACAGTTAAAACTGAGTAGCAGCTGCCCAGTTGGATTTAAGGTCCAGGTCCCTCTGGCCTGCTCTACCCTACTTAGATGGGGCACCTTATTCCTTACTGGTCAACATCCCATAGGCATTTGAATTTCCCCACTTTTATGCTAATATGTTCAAAGTGCAAATGTAGTAGAAAAGAAAAAAAAGCTATCCTCAACTTCTTTCAGGCAAGTTTATCATTAACTATTATGAGTTTGCTATAATCTAATTAATTTAAGTTACATTTACAGGCAAAAAACTAGTTACTTTTTACACTTTAGGAAGTACCTCTGAAATCTAGTTTGAAGACCAGGGATTTAGCTCAGTAGTTCCAGCACCTGCATCACAAGTGTGAGGACCCAAGTTCGATCCCTGGCACCAAAAAAAAAAAAAAAAAAAAAAAAAAAAAGATAGAAAGAAAGGAAATCCAGTTTGACACATTCATTCAACCTCGTGTCACCTGAATATTCATTTCCACTATTAATTAATTGCCAATCTCTTAGCCTCCTTTTCTCAAGATGCTCTCAAATGCTGCAGTCACATGAAATGATAGAAGTCACCCACTGAGCGGCCATTTGAAGATCTTCCACAAATTTTGAACATCATAAGGTCATCCATGACATTGAAGTAGTTCAGGAAGATAACTCATTTGTTTTGACTTGAAGTACACACAACCTGACTTGTACAGCAAGGCTATTTCCAGAGCAATGCCCTTGTCTAGAGGATGTTCTTCTAAAAAACTGATAGCATTACTCTGTTTTGGGAAGTTTTACATCTTGTTTGTTGTAAGGTGTTCAATAGTTATTAAAACTAAAAAAGAGTCTTGAGTTATCAGATTCAGATTCAATTACATAAATAAATAAATAAAGACTAAGATGAGCTAGAGATGCCGTTGAGTGGTAATAAAAGAGAGTTAAAACTCGACCTTTCCCCATTCCTAATCTAATGCTAAATGCATGACACTTTCTTTTAATTATTCCTAACAGTATCTTTATCTGGCTAAAACCCCAACCAACTCATTGGGCAATAGCCAAAGGTTTTATCTAGAGAAGCTTTAATATTGAGATAAAAAACATGTTTGAATGTTTCCAACCTGGAGTATAGTGTTCAGACATTAAATATTTTTGTCAGTCTTTCTTAATGCCTGTGCGGATTTTTGTGAAAATGTAAAAGAGGAAATATATATTTCCCTTGGAATTTTAAGCTATATTTTCTTTACAGGTATTTATAATGTAACAATGCTTTTAACAAACAGAATTTTAAAAGGCAAAATAAATTATATGAAAGAACCAAAAGTTTTCCTGAGAATAAGAAAGTTTCATCCAATAAAATATTTTCAAAAGGCATGTTCCCATCAATGAAACAAGTATAATATGTATGTGTTGTAATATTAAGTGACATTTGTCTAATATCCTAATACCATGTATAACTGAGTTTGATATGCGTGGTCTTTGTGTTCTTAAGGGAACTCTCACATTACATACTTCATGTATTATTAACCAAAATATGTAAAATATGCTTATAAATCAGAAGAATAAATGGTTTCTCACAAGGTCAAAAAGAAAAAAGCTCATGTTTCCAAAGGAAACAGGATTGCCTTGTCTTTCTGTGTTTCCTAAATGGACTATAAAAATGTTGAAAGTTTACACAAAAGTTAATTAATTCCTTTTTAAGAAAATTGGTTTTCTGTACTGTATACCTAAAATGTACCAATAATCTCAATGGGGGGAAAAAAAGAAAATTGGTTTTCTAGGAGGCAAATTAAACATCTATTTGAAAAATAATGTTCTGTTTTCCCCTCCTAGCTTAGGTTTTTACTTTTTTGCCAACACACAAAATTATATAGCTGTTGTTACTGAAATGTTGAGAGAGAAAATAACTATAAGCTACAATTAAATGGACTCACTGTACATGAGATAAATTTGCAGCATTTCAGTAATAGTTCCTTGATTTACAGGTTAGAGGAAAGCATTCTAGCATTAAATCCTTTTTGGGCTTCCCTCCGCAAAATGCCCAGTCTCCAACTTGGATCTCCTGCCCTCACACTTGCTTTTCTGCTTCAAAAGTCCATTCCTTGAATTTCCACCCACCATCTTAGAATCTGGGCCTTTCTATTAATAAAGAATGGTATTTCCCCAGAAGCCATTTTTTTCTCCTAAAATATAGTCATCCAGTTGAACTATAATAATCTTTCAAGAATGTCAGAAAGATTGCTCTATCTGGCTTTTGTCCTCCAAATGCAGATATTTTGAAAGCTTCCCATCAGGATGGTTTGGAGATATGTCTGTCTTCCATTCGCTTTTTTATTTAATATAACTATGAATCAAGAGTGGTGGTACATGACTGTAATCCCAGAACTAGGGTGAGTATGGCGGCAGCTTTAAATTGAATCTGATAACTGTCATATATATATTTTAACAGTAAAAAACCTTTCACCAGTAACCCCCTTAAATAACGCCCCTCATTCAAGCATACTTATCCCATTTTTCTTGCCACTTTCTGAAGCAGTTCTGGAAGTCCTTTATTGTGGGTATCTTTGGATGCATTGTCTTGTCTGCCTCAACATCCTGAATTAATTTAAAATATTTAAAACATGGTGATTTGACTTTGGGAAAGAGCCAACAGTCAAATGGTGGCAGATCTAGTGCAGAAAGTAGATCAGGATACACCATAATGTTTTCATGAGCCTGCCTTTCCATTGGATGGCACTTGATAACCACTTTCATTATATTTTTATCACATCTCATAAGACACAAAAGAGGACTTCCAGAACTGCTTCAGAAAGTGCCAAGAATTACTGTCACTTTCTTCATCATCACTCCTTGATCTATCTTGTAATGTGATATACTTGTTAGAAGAGCAACAGATTGATCCAATAAGTCAGGCTTCCTTTGGATCAAGAATTATATATAATCATACAATGGAGACTAAGAAAATGATGCAAAAAAACAATGAATCACAGAGTTGTGTTTTTGAAAGAATAAATAAAATCAATGAACCCTTAGGCAATCTTATCAAAAAAGGATAGAAAAAGGCTCAAATTCATGCAATTAGGAATGAAAAAGTGAAGTCACAACAAACCCACAGGATCATCAGTACCTACATTTAAAACCTGTACTCTAACAAAATGGAAAATACAGAAGAAATGGACAGATTCCTAGATTCACATGAACTTCCAAAGTTGAATGAAGAAGATATAAAAAGTGTTAACACCACAATTACATTCAGTGAAATTGAAAATGTAATTAAAATTTTACCAACAAAGAAAAGCCCAGGTCTAGAAGGCTTCACTGCTGAATTCTACAAGACATTTAGAGAAGAACTATTGCCACTACACTTTAAACTCTTCAATGAAATTGAAAGAGAAGCAATACTTCCAAATTCATTCCTTGAAGCAAGTGTTACTTTGATTCCAAAACCAGGGAAAGACAAAACCAAAAAAGAAAACTACAGGCCAATTTCCCTAATGAACATAGATGCAAAAATCCTCAATAAGAGGGCTGGGGATTTAGCTCAGTGGCCCCCACCTGCCTTGCAAATGCAAGGACCCAAGTTCAATCCCCAGTAATAAAAAAAATCCTTAATAAGATACTGGCAAACAGAATACAGAAGATCATTGAGAAGATGATACACCCTGACCAAATCATATTTATTCCAGGGAATGCAAGGATTGTTCAACATACATAAATCAATAAATGTAATACACTATATTAACAAAGTCAAGGACAAAAACCATATGATCATCTCAATAGATGCAGAAGAAGCAACTGACAAAATTCAACACCCATTCATGATAAAAGGCCTACAGAAAATTTGAATAGATGGTCTTTATCTCCACCTGATATGACAAAAACCATATGATCATCTCAATAGATGCAGAAGAAGCATCTGACAAAATTCAACACCCATTCATGATAAAAGGCCTACAGAAAATTTGAATAGATGGTCTTCAAAATTAAACACCCATTCATGATAAAAGGCCTACAGAAAATTTGAATAGATGGTCTTTATCTCCACCTGATAAAGGCTATCTATGAAAAACCAACAGCCAATATCATACTAAATGGTCAAAAACTGAAAATTTTCATGTTAAAGTCAGGAACAAGACAAGAATGTCCACTATCACCACTGTTCTGTTCCATATAGATCTAGAGACATTAGCCACAGCAATTAGATAAGAGAAAGAAATAAAATCAACAAAGATAGTAAAGGAAGAAGTTAAACTGTCACTATTTGCTGATGATAAGATACTCGACCTAGAACACCCAAAAAAATTCTGCCAAAAGATGTCTACACTGAATTGACAGATTCAGTAAAGTAGCTGGATACAAGGTCAACACTCAATATCAATAACCATCTTGTACACAAATAACAGACTCACTGAGAGAGAAGTTAAGGAAACAATTCCTTTCACAATAACATCCAAAAAAAATGAAATACCTAGGAGTCAATCTAACAAAGGAGACAAAAGACCTCTACACTGAAAACTACAGAACTCTGAAAAAAAGAGATAGAAAAGGATATAAGAAAGTGGAAAGACATCCCTTGCTCCTGGGTAGAAAAAATCAACATAGTGAAAATGGCCATACTCCCCAAACTGCTATACAGATTAAATGCAATCCCTATTGAAATCCCAATAGTATATTTCACAGGACTTGAAAAAACTATCCAAAAATTCATTTGGAACCAGAACAGAACTAGAATAGCAAAAGCCATTCTAGGAAACAGAGAACTGGCAATGGTATCACAATCCCCAACTTGAAACTATACTATAAAGCCACTGTGATAAAAATAGTATGGCACTGGCAAAGAAACAGACCCAAGGATCAATGGAATAGATTAGAAGATGCAGAAACTATACCAGACATACTCAGCTACCTCATCCTTGACAAAGGAACCAACCATCCTCACTGAAGGAAAGATAGCCTCTTTAATAAATGGTGTTGGAAAAACTGGATTTCAACTTGCCCAAGATTAAAACTAGATTTCTGTATTTCACCATGCAGTAAACTAAAATCCAGGTGGATTAAAGATATCAATATTAAAATAGAAATACTAAACTTACTGGAAAATAAACTAGATAGAATTATCAAATACATTGGTATAGGAAAAGACTTTGTGAACAAATGTTCAGCAGCACAAGAACTTGTACAAAGAATTAACAACTGGGATCTCATTGTATTAAAAAGTTTTTTCACTGCAAGAGAAACCACCAACAGAGCTAAAAGACAACCTACAATGTGAGAAAAAAAATTTTACCAGATACGTCTTAGGCAAAGCAATACTATCTATAATATATAAAGAACTCAAAAAAAAATTTAAAAAAAGATCCCTGGTTCAAAAATGGGCATGTGAATGAACAGACATTTCT